AATTTATTATTAGCTCATCATATTCATTTATTGACAATTAACTACTAAATAAATGACTTTCATTTGCCATGCATATACATGCTACCGTATTAGCTCGGTAGAATAAACAAAATTAACATGTTGCTAGCTTTCTTTCTGTGAACGAGCTTACTGACCATCAAAAGAAAAAACTTAGTGTTGTTTCTAAGGGAAATGATGTGTTAGTAGCAACAAGGAACGGATCGGAGAAGTCGATATGTTATTTGTTTCGACAGTTTTGTCAGTTTACTAAAACACGGATTGCACAAATATTTAAACATTCCTTTGTCTTCATTCACTTGTCCACAAACAATTTTCAACGGTTGAATAAAAATTTTTGGAAAGTGTCGATGAATATAGACCTTCAGTTCCTGACTCCCGATGAATCAGCGCAAAGCCTACACGTCGCCATTGTTTTAATCTGTGATGACCCCTGGATCTAGAAATTTGGGATACAGCAATGCTGATTGGTAGCGACAGCTTTTTGGCACACCCAATCAAATGACTCAATTTAACTTGTGAAATGAAAATGAAATGCAGCTTTTCTAACACGATCACGCACAGGTTTGGGTCGGTTATGAATGGCCGGCTTTAGCGAAACCGTGCGATTCGGACGATGATCTAGCACCAAGAAGAATAGAATTAATTCTTTCGAAGAAGCTGCATATGCACTCGTTTCAGAATGTATCTGTACTCATTCCAATATTAGAATTTCCCTCTATACAAAAATATTGAACATGCTCCAGGTTATCAATGCCAAATATAAATATTTACTATCATGTTGGATGCAGTACTGCTTAAGCACATGATGGAAATACCAACTTGTTACTGAACACAAACAAAATAATATATAAATATAATATTTGTAATTACTTTGTCTTGTTTTTTTTTCAGGTGACGTGGATAATCATTTATTCTGCTCTGTACTTTGATTAGGTACAACTGATAAGAAGGGAGATGGACACTTCACTCTGCAGAAACATTAACTGTGAATGTATCATTTTGATATGATGTACATATTTCGTCCTAGGAGTTTTAGACTTCCAAATTGTTAAAAAATCTAAATTATTTGTTGTGGAATAGAATTCAACATGTTCTTCATGATTCTGTGATGAACATTAAATGGATTTCACTTTTATAAATACATCCAGCTTATCCGTCTGCCTCGCAGGTCACCAGTTTGCACAGAGTCTCTGGAAAACTTTTAAACGGAACAATAGTCGTTTTTTTTTTTTTCAGCAGCTGTTTTTTGACAAACTTCTATCATGAGATAATAAATATGAAATTCAACCACCAAAACATGTACTATTTCTAGCAGTTATTGCTGGCATTTTTATAAAAAGTAAGTATTTAAACCAGTACACAAATCACATGAAATACCTACTGTTGTTTTCCAGCTTGTCTAATCTTTTTAAAAGAAACAAAACCCCCATACATGGAAAGTTTGTAAAAAAAAAAAAAAAGAGAATTATTCCAATTAAATATTCCTTCATATTTTCAATTTTTGTTTTGTTTTACATTTATCATTAATGATACGATTAAGCAAAATTTGTTGCTTCTTTAACCATGCAATGAAAGAATTGAAAAACAGTTCTTAAATCTATAGACAGATTTTTTGGGCTGAAAAATGGTCTTGATTACTTTCAGAAATTCAAACACATTTTTAGCAATTCTTGAGCTTGAAAACAACATCTTCGCCAGCCAAGGAATGTTTGTTTTGGGTCACCCCTCCAAACTAACCCTTGGCAGATTGAACCACTACAGTGTGTATTTAATAGAGGCGACCTTAACGACAAGGAGGAGAGATGTGACAAAAATAAACAGCCAATCAGCTATCTTGTAACAAAATACAATTGAGCATTTTTTTTTTAAATGGCGACCCCAGCAGAACATATCATGCAGCTTTTCAATATAAAAAGCCTCACCGATTACCAAAACCATGCAATTGATACATTACTAGCAGAGAAAAAGACGAGTTTGTTGCATCAAGGACAGGAAGTGGCAAATCACAAAAATTGTGCAAAAATTCAACTCTTGAATGATCAGTCAAGTAAAGATTTTTGAGAGTTGACAGTTTCATTACATGTATTTTGTTAAAACATAGTCGACATAAATATTTGTCACTGCGAAGTATGCCACAAAAAGCCTGCAACGTTGTCATAAAAAATTGTGGAAAACTGGGTTTGGCAAACAACCTTAAACCACTCTAAATGCATGGTTACGAATTATAAGAATTTTAAAATAACCGTGCTATACATTGCCATTTACAACATTCTGTTCATTATCATCTGATTGGACGCTTTTCCAACAGGCGCATCCAATCAAACTTGGCCATTTGTTTAACATAAAATATATGTTGACCAAGGCTGATCCCGCATGGGTTGGTCGAGTCGGCACCAACAAATCGTGCAATTCAGATGATGCAAAACAATGTCATTGACTAATTTCAACTCTAGGTGGCACCATCATACTTTGTGATGGTGCTACTGTATTTCCTCACAAGTGAAAGGTATAACTACCAGCTTTTCACAAATAACACCACAGCTTGGCAGAGAGCCTACTTTAATAATCATTCTCTGACCAGGATCTACCAAAGCAACAGTGATGTGCTCTGGCAAAGATGGCAGCTCTCGTGGCCACAAAATAATGTAATATTTAATTTAGTTCACCAGTGCTTGACCACGCTACTGATAACATATTCTACCGTGATGAACATCAGATGTGTACAATACATTATGTTTACTGAAAGTGTAAATAGAGTACACTTCAATAAAGGATGATATATGATTCATTCAATCACCTAGATCATAGACCCTCTACTGGAGGGTTCATGCATAGATGGAGAATTTAAGTGACAATTTAGGTAATTCATATAATTATAGTATTAGAGTCGTGGGCAAAGACAATGCACATGTAAATTACATGCATTAATAATTCATGTAATAATTTGAAACCGATAATTTCTGTGTTTGAACTACAGAGGGCGATGTGATCAGTAAGTTTTACCTTTCTACACAATGAGAGTAGTTTACTGCGGGCCTAAATCAAACTATAATTTATACCAGAACAACAACCAACTTTCAAAAAAAGAAAATTTCTCAGCAAATATTTCTAGGCAGTGAGCACCTTTTTGATTCAATTCACGGCAGAGTGAACAATATTCTTTTTTTTACAAATGGCGTGAGAAACAAACAGAAAACAGAATTAAACCAGGTGAGACATAAATCATTTCAAAATACTTTCTTGTCTGAAGTTTCAAAACTTATCAGTGTGTAAACACAAATCGTGTATTTCCATATCTTGTAACAGTGCCACTGATGACTAGAACAAACGTCACCCACAATCAGATTTAAAAATTGTACGAGTGACGAATCTTAGACGCAAGTCAATATTTGGGTCTGGCTATATTTTCCCCACTAATACTTTCCTTGTTTATGAATTGTTTGTTGTACTCTCGGCGCAACAAATGCATTTCATTCATCTAATTGAGCTGTTATTAGAGTACATATTATGAGATTGCTCTGTAATTTGGCTGATTTTTTTTAATACGTAAACGAAAATAGCAATTTAAAAACATATTCACTAAAAATAGAAAAATATAACTATCTTCACATAATTTGGGAGAGAACCATAGTGAATATATTTCCTGTTTTCTGATTGTCTCTGGCTTCTGAATGTACTGAATGTCACTCTTGAAGTTGCATCCACTATAGTTTCTTTGAGAATTGTCTTTTCCGGGCATCTGCTGTAGTTTTCGCGTCAAACTTTTCAGAAAGACACAGTAATTCAATATCATAAGTGTCTATATATTGAATTCGACCGTTGGGGCATTTCTCTAAATTCGGCACTTAACCCAGTAATTTGCTTGCAAGATGGTTTGTATAAACAACAGACAATATTAATATCTTGTCTAAATATTTTTTTCTAGTGAACGTACAAGAAAACTGGTCGATGGTTTGAAAAAGTCGAAGCTAACAATATGTTCGTATGCTGGAATACTGATTGAAATACGGGTATCAAGATAGATGCTCTTTTGTTTTTCCAATGGCTGGTACGACGTACAGGAGCTATCTGCCGTACGGTTACTCTTGTGCCGTCATTACTAAAACTGTATCAGTCTAACTGTGAGAGTTTGTTTGGTTTCAGACTCGGTTGGTGTTGGGAAATTCAGCCGAGAACACACAGTTTCTGTAGTTATAACATACGCCATTTATTGCGAA